AAGAGGCCTAACATAATTCTTGATCACTTCTAGTTGGCAAAACTTTACACTGGGCCAGGCTAAGGCAGAAAGAGCCTATTCTAAACCCTGGATCTCCTGGACAGTGTGAGGAGAAGGCCAAAGCCCTCGCCTCTGCCCAAGTCAGCAGAGAGAGCTAAATTCATAACAGGGAGCCTCTGAGTTGAGCCACAGTTATCCCAGAGATTAACTGGAGTCCATAGAAGCATGCTCTGAACCAAGAACAAGCCCTGCCACAGTCTGTTGTAACTGAAATTTTACATGACACTGAAATGCAGCCACCCCTGAGCTACAACAAGGCAGCTATTTAAGAGCAAACAATAAATGTTATGTAATAGTTATGACTGGAAGTATAGAAAACTAAAAACAGATAGGAAATGTAGATGTTTAGAATGTAATCTCCCATTCTGGAATCTGGACAGTATGCTGAGATACTACTACCTTTGTAAAAACTGCCAGAAGATCTTTAAGTAGCTGGCATCTTGAGTTTCCCCTCCTGAGGGTGTAACACCTCCACTTCCCTGCACCATCCTAAGGCACTATTGAAAAATTAATTCACAAAAAAAAAAGAGTCCAGCCTACAGAACTGTGAGCACCACTTCTTCCAGCATCCAGGTTTTCATTAGAAGTCTCTTGTCCAACTAGTCTCTAGGTCAGACTCTGCATGGCCAACAAGAGCACTGTCCAGGGTAATACAGCTACAAGTCTTTTTTCTGTTAAATGCTGGTAAGAGTGAGATTTTAATTTTTACTAACCAGGAGTAAACAAAGGAATCTCAAAGAGCCAAATTTCTGGGCTGGTGAACTCCTATGCAGCCTTGCTGAAATTTATGATGCAGCAGCCTGAAGCTACATGGATTGGGATCTATTTGCATGAGTCAGGATGCATCTAATCACTAGCATTCTGGAAAGTGCTATCCACCTGATGGCTTAAAAAAATGTGTGATAAATATATGTATCAAACACCATCCCTGACATCTGCCTACTCCCTTGGACTTAGTCTATCAGAATCAGATCTAAATGATCTAACTTGGTATAGCAGGACTACCATCAGCGAGTGAATTAACACATGCCAGGACTGCTCTGCAGAAATGCCTAAAAGATGTATCAAAATAGCAATGAATGCCCAACTGAGCAGTTTGAATTTTGAATCCTTTCACTAGTTGCAAATAAAATGCTAACTTCTGCACTTCCTATCATGTAGTGCCCAGTCAGATTATATTGAATATAACTGGATATTTTATATACCCTTAATATTTTATTTGGCAATAAGAGTAAAGTTCATGGTATAGCAGGTACTATCTAATTGTGCAGCAACTGGTGCCATGAACCAGATTTCACCCATGCAAAGGTAATGGCCGCCAGTTGATTTTTCCCCCAAAGTGCTGGCGAGAAAGAAAGAATTGATTGAAATTCATTGCTTTGAGACAGCTTCGTTGTTATGATACTTGTCTGTTTAAGCTGATCATCACCACGACAAGGGCAGGGAAGGACCCAGAGATCAGAGGAGATTTTGCACTGAAAATTGGAAAGCCTCTTTTTTTGTTTTTTGTGTTTTTGCTTGGCTGCAGGTATAAGCAACATTAACTTCAGGGTTAAGATTATGTACAGTATGTCTTTCTCTAACCTCTTCAGGCTGCTGTAGTTTATGAGTTAGTGAAAATCTTTAATAAAGATTTATAACAGGACAAATTTTTAGTTAGTGAAAATCTTTAATAAAGATTTATAAGAGAACAAATTTTCCCCAGCCATTACTGTTACAAGCTGTCCCTTGCATCTGCCTTTCAAATGTCAGTTCTTCTGACATCAACAAGAAAAGGAAAGGAAGAACACTGAACA